GCGCCCCTGGAAAACCTTCTTGAATTACTCCAGGCCATTAGTTACTGCCCCTCCTCCGGGAAGCTCGGGATTCTGCTTTCACCTCTCCATTACTGCACTTACAATTCTGAACTGGAATTATTTGCTTCCACATCTTTCTCCATTAGGCAAGTTAATTCGCAGGGATTAGGTACACTCACTAATATTTGACTCCCTCTTAGACTCACTCACCGTACTTCTTTCTAGTCCGAAGAAGCTTGGGGCTGTCCCAAGTCAGCTGGATTGCAGGAAAGGCTGTCCCAGGCCCAGGTCAGTACTATTTCCTCCTTCTAGCTCCTAGCCTTTCGCTATGTAGGCAAGAGGGAGACGGTAAGGAGGAGGCAGGTGCATTGCAGGGCTTCTCACTTTCCTCCCACCAACTCCCCAGCATGACTACGGCATGTTCTCTGAGAAGCAGGCTTAGGGCGACTCTGTCAAGAAGCCTCTTTTTTATTTTTATTTTTTTTAAAGATTTTTATTTATTTATTTATTTATTTGACAGAGAGAGACACAGAGAGAGAGGGAACACAAGCAGAGGGAATGAGAGAAGGAGAAGCAGGCTTCCCGCCGAGCAGGGAGCCCGAGGAACCCGGGACCATGACCTGAGCCGAAGGCAGACGCTTAACGACTGAGCCACCCAGGTGCCCCTGTCAAGAAGCCTCTCGCTTTAGCTTTACATTCTTACTCATGCCGAATGGAAGAATTGGCTATTATTATGGTTCTTAAAAGAAATGTTTAAAATACACACTCTGTTCTCTTCGGAATTTTTCATCATACCCTTTTAGGTATTCTCTGAAATATGATAAGCCTTTACTGTCACTCCTTGGGAAGGAAAAAAGGATCGGGGACAAAACGAACTTCACTGACTATCTACCCTGTGGGCCTCACTGTGCTGTGTTGGGGGCAGACAAACATTCCGCCCTCGTGTTGCGCATATCCTGACACCTGGGATTTAAACGTCCTCTGTTTAAAGTTAACACGTTAAACAATTTTAATGTTTAAATAAGTTAAAATGATGCTGATTTTGGAATCAGACTTTTGTTCAGTTTAAACTTCAGCTACTCAATGACGATTTACTGAGTGCCCAACACAAGCCAGCAGTGTGCTCTTACTGGGGACAGGGTGGTGAGCAAGCTAGACTTGATCCCTTCCTTAATGAAGCTTATGTCTACCAGGGGAGACATGCAATAGTCAAATGATTACATAAATAATTGTGAATTATAACTGCAACCAGTGCTTTGAAGGGAAGCATGCAGTACTGTGAGATAAGCTGATATTAGGTACGGATCTAGTCAAGGTTTGAAGGAAGATCAGGAGTTAATTAAAGGGGGACGGGGGAAATACCATCCAAGAAGAGGGGAGAAAGTGTAGACAAGTAGGAAAAGGCTAGATCTGTGTGTCACAGTAGCCACTAACCACATGTGAAATTGAGCCCTTGGAATCTGGTTAGTGTGCTTGAAGAACTGAAATTTTAATTTTAATTAATTTAAACTTAAAAACTGAAGCAGTTGATTATATGTTGAAATGATTATATGTTAACATTGATTATATGTTGAAATGATAATATTTGGGACATAGGAGTTAAATAAAAGGCTCAAATTAATATAACCTGATTTATTTTTTATTTTATTTTATATTTTTTAAAGATTTTATTTATTTATTTGACAGAGAGAGACACAGCGAGAGAGGGAACACAAGCAGGGGGAGTGGGAGAGGGAGAAGCAGGCTTCCTACCGAGCAGGGAGCCCGATGCGGGGCTCGATCCCAGGACCCTGGGATGGTGACCTGAGCCGAAGGCGGCCGCTCAACGACTGAGCCACCCAGGCGCCCCTAACCTGATTTTTTTTTTTAATCTTTAAAATATGGCTACTAGAAAATTCTAAACGACACATGTGGCCCCCGTATGTTTCCATTGGATAGTTCTGGGTTAGACCGTGCAGTTTGGTTCTAGGACATAGAACTCTCCCCTTTTCAACGCACTGGGGTGTAGTTGGAAGAAAATTGCACTTGGGGCCAGAGACCCATGGGATCTGGCTCTCATTGGATGGATGACCTGGTGCACTCACTAGGCACCCAATAAACATCCCTTCAACGGCTCTGGGTTTATTTCTTCAAATGGAACCAATAATACACAGGACTTCAGGAGATCTGGCGTTGATCCTCGAGTAGTTCCCTGCCCTTGCTCACTGTGCCACCTTGAAGTGGTCCCTGGGCCTCAGTTTCTCCTGCTCGTAAAAGCCGATCAGTGTCGGGACGTGGGGAGGTGGCAGCGTGCGGAAGAGGGCAGGGCGGGTCATCGTCTGTCTGTACGTCTTACCTGAAGACATAGGCGGAATGTGACGAACTTGGGGCCGTTTCCGCCACGGGTCCTTCAGCGGACCCCGCAAAGTTCTGGATGGGACATCCGACACCTGTTGCCCCCACATGCACCAGGAAGGGGTGCCCTTTGCTTTGCGGTCGGGGAGGAGGAAGAAGAGGAGGAGGGGCGTCGGGGAGAGGCCCATTTTGCTACTGTGAGTCCTGGCGTTCTCAAGGCAACGCCAGGCGCTGTCACCACTTCCACCTTTCCCACAACAATGGAACCGTGGTGAGCCACCGCGGCGCCCGCGACACGCCGTTACCACGGTGACGGCCCCAGGTGGCTGGGGAGACCAGACCAATGGGTTTGTGGTTCCTCTTCCCAGTCTCTAGCACGGGGAATGTAAGTGACTCCAGGAGACATCCCCTCCGGAGTCTCTTTAATATACCGAGGGCAGTCCTCAAGCGTTTCTGGTGCCTCGCGTAGGCTCCCGTTGTGCCCCGCACCGCGCCGGGCACCCCCACCTCCCGCGATGGTAGAGTCCGGGGGCGGGGATGCGCATGCGCACACAGGTGGCGGGGGGCGGAACAGCGCCGGAGCCGTGGTCTAGGCGGGTGACGCGAACCCTGCAGGCGGTTGCCGGCAAGTATCGGAATGCATTTGGACCCGGGCTTCTGGGATGCGCTAGGTCTAAGCACAGCGTCGCCCCTGGGCCCGAGGACGGGGGGGACGCCCGGGTGTTTCCCAGGGGACCCAGGGCTTCCCAGCCGCTGGAGTGGCCCGAGGGCGCGGGACAGGGGGCGGAGGCTGGGTTCACCCTAGGCCCGTCACCGCCCTTCTCGCCTCGATTATAAACTGGGTTGGTAATTCCTCCGGGTAAATCGGCTGCGAAGAGGATTAAAGGACGTGCGTGTGAACGTTTGTTCTCTACCGTTAGTTGAGTCCAGCGCCCGGGGTGGCAGAGTATCTGCGCGGCACGTACTGGGCTAGCTCTGAACTCTTTTGAGAATCCAGTGAAAGCCAAAAACTACTCCCTCACCTTCTTGTTAGATTAAAATAGGATAATGTATTTTATGGCCCATTGCAAACTAAAGCATTGCGCAGTGATGAAGTGATTATTACTAGCCCAAGGGAGTAGAAGCCCAATCGCACTACTTTCCCACCGTGTGACTGGGGACAAGTTGCCTGGGACATACTTACCTCGATCTATTTTTCAGGGTTGTTGTGAGCATCAAATGCCACCGTTTTTTGTTTTTTTTTTTAAGATTTTGTTTATTTGACAGGGACACAGCGAGAGAGGGAACACAAGCTGGTAGAGCAAGAGGGCGAAGCAGGCTTCCCCCTAGGCAGGGAGCCCGATGTGGGGCTCGAACCCAGGACCCTGGGATCATGACCTCAACCGAAGGCAGACGCTTAACGACTGAGCCACCCAGGCGCCCCCAAATGCCACTGATTTTTATTAACACTATAACAACCTGTAAGTGGGTACTGTTGTTATCCTTGTTTATAAATAAGCCTGAGGCCCAGAGAAGATTAAGTTCTGGGGTACCAGTGGGGCTGCGCGGCAGAGCCATGATTGGAACCCAGACGCTCTCCCTTTTCTTTCTTAGAGCTGAGCCCTCTCACTCCAGGGAGTTTAACTAGACAGACAGCTGCCTTGGATCAAGGGGCTCAGCTGGGACCTCAGGGTCCACACTAATGTTCCAGGATCTTAGGATCTCAGTCAAAGTTGTTTGTGCATTATTGGGTATGACTTAAAAGGCATCTCGTCCAGACACTTCCTTTTCCTCGCCTGTAATATACTGGTGATAGTTCTCTGCTTAAGGGTTAGGAGAATTAATGAGGTCACAAGGGAAGTGCCCCTGTTAAAACCCTGAGAAAGAAAGTAATTTAGCCAGGGTTTAGCATGCAGTTGAGGGGCAGAGCCAGACCTGGTACTTGGTCTGTTGTGTCCAAGTGATAGGCTTAGGCGTAGTACTCTTTGCACAATTGCAGGCTTTGCAAGAACACCTTGGCCAAGTATTTTTCCTTCTTCAGATGTCTCCAGGTTTTTGGAAGGAGAGAGGCTGCTTTTTAGTTGTTTTTTGTTCATTTGTTTTGTTTTTTCATAATTATACTATCATTGTAGTAATTTATTAAATCCAAAAGTGTATTTCTTTTTGTTAATTTTTTAAATGCCTTTATTTATTTGAGAGAGAGAGCACAAACCGGGGGTGGGGTGGGGGGAGGGCAACAGGCAGAGGGAGAAGCGGGCTCCCTGCTGAGGAAGGAGCCCAATGTGGGGCTTGATCTCAGGACCCTCCCAGGACCTGGAGATCATGACCAGAATGGAAGGCAACCGCTTAACCGACTGAGCCATCCAGGCGTCCCAGTATATTTAAAAAAAATTTTTTTTTTAATTTTATTTATTTGAGAGAGAAAGAGAGCGCGCGCGCGCGCGCGCACACACACACACACACACACACACACACACACACACTCTCTCTCTCTGCACGAGTAGGGGGAGGGGCAGAGGGAGAAGCCGGCTCCCTGCTGAGCAGGGAGCCTGACGTGGGGCTTGATCCCAGCACCCAGAGATCATGACCAAAGCCAAAGGCAACGGTTTAATCGACTGAGCCACCCAGGCGCCCCCAGAAGTATATTTATTTAATATAATTCGATATTATTATAACATATGAAATTGCTACCTCTTGACCACTTTTTACCTATAAAAGGATTTCACTAAAGCCACCATCCTACTCCCCTTCCCACATTTAACCACAGTAAGCAGTTTGGTGTATCTTTCCAGATTTTTTTTTTCTATTTTTTAATTTACACACCTATATTCTTACCTTTTTTTTCTTTCTGTCTTGTGGCGTTATAGTATACACATTGTTCTGCATCTTGCTTTCTTAGTGCTTAAAGTGTGTTGGAGGTCTTTCCAGGGCAGTCCATACACAGCTGCCTCATTGTTTTTACTTGTCCTGTTGCATTCCATTATAATAATGTGCTACAATGTATTTGGCTATACCAACCATTGGTAGACATTTTGGATTGTTTTTTATTTTTCACTTTTACCAACAGTAGGGAACATATGTCTGTACATGTCCAGTTCTTTCTGGAGGATAAATTTTTAGAAGATGTGGTGGTCAAAAAGAATGCACATTTATTTTATTTTTTTAAAGATTTTATTTATTTATCTGAGAGAGAGAGAATGAGAGATAGAGAGCACGAGAGGGAAGAGGGTCAGAGGGAGAAGCAGACTCCCTGCTGAGCAGGGAGCCCCATGTGGGACTCGATCCCAGGACTCCAGGATCATGACCTGAGCTGAAGGCAGTCACTTAACCAACTGAGCCACCCAGGCGCCCTATTTTATTTTATTTTTTTTAAGATTTTATTTATTTTTTTTGACAGACAGAGAGAGAGAGACAGCGAGAGAGGGAACACAAGCAGGGGGAGCTGGTGGGGGAGAAGCAGGCTTCCCACCGAGCAGGGAGCCCGATGCAGGGCTCAGTCCCAGGACCCCGGGATCATGACCTGAGCGGAAGGCAGACGCTTAATGACTGAGCCACCCAGGTGCCCCAAGTATGCACGTTTAAAATTTTGCTAGGTTTTGCCTAACTGGGAAAATCACAGCATCTTATGTTTCCACCTAAAGAAAACTAAAGTGTCTTTTTATCCACACCCTCACGAGCATTGGATATTTTTCATCTTTTAAGTTTTGCCAATATGGTGGATGAAAATGCTTCTTTTTATGATGTACCCCACTAGTTATTAATATGAGAGTAATTTGATATATACCTTTAGCCAGCTGACCATGACTGTGGACCCTGGGAAAATTTGGCTAACTTCTCCACGCCCTAGTCTTCTCACCTCTGATATGGATAGGAAAACACCTACCTAATGGGGTTGCTGCAAGGAATAAAAGAAATCTATGAAGTGTGCTCAGCATTGGGCCCAACCGATGGTGGCTAGGCAGAAAGTGATACTAGTTTGTGTTTACTGTGCTCTTTTCTTTTTGGGGTTAAACAATTTCTTCCCAGATATTCTCCTTTCATTCTTGTTCTGCCCTCTACAGACATCAGATTACTTGTCTTCCCTCTTCCACCCTTTTACTTTTCTCCAGAGAAACAATACCAGAGCCTTCCACTGTTTTGGATGACACGGTAGCGCAGCTTCAATCTCTCTCAGCATCTTGGTCCCCACTGCTGTCCCATCCACTACCAAGCTGGAAGCATTCTGCTTTGTCCAAGTACTCATATTGTGCCCAGGCTCAAATGCCATCCCCTAGGTTGTGGATCTACTGCTGTTTTTAATTACAAATACACACCTACCAATGAAACTCTCATGAGTACACCTGCTCCAAATATCTTTATTTTTATTTATTTATAGATCATACAGACATGAACTTCTGTATTATATATTGTAATACCTCCAAAGAACCTTCTAGACTTTTATCATTAATCTTAGTGACATTAATTTCTACATCACTGAAAATAGCACAGTTTTTCATCACGTTCTCATTGAGGGCATGTCTTCGTAATTGTGATGGGTTCAAACAATGAGTTATCTTTTAATGATAGTTGATATAAACCTTGTTTCACATGGTCTTGAGAAATTCTCTCTTTTTATGGCCTGCTTTTTGTCAGATGTGATTAATTCATTACTGTTTTGGTTTTTTTTTTTTTTAGGGTTTTATTTATTTGAGAGAGAAAGAGAGAGTGTGCGCACGCACGCGTAAGTAGGGGGAGGGGCAGAGGCAGAGGGAGAAGCAGACTCCCCCCTGAGCAGGGAGCCTGATGCCAGGCTTGATCCCCGGACCCTGAGTCATGACCTGAGCTGAAGGCAGATGCTTAACTGACTGGGCCACCCAGGCACTCAATTCATTACTGTTTTTATCTCATAATGTGGCAGAGGAAGATTTTATACATAGGAGTAGGAAAATCAAGAGCTCTGTTTCCTTCTGTTCATTTGTCCTTTTTTTTTAGATTTTTTTATTTATCTATTTGACAGAGAGAGACACAGAGAGAGAGGGAACGCAAGCAGGGTGAGTGGGAGAGGGAGAAGCAGGCTTCCCGCCGAGCAGGGAGCCCGATGTGGGGCTCGATCCCAGGACCCTGGGATCATGACCTGAGCTGAAGGCAGACGCTGAACAACTGAGCCACTCAGGCGCCCCCATTTGTGCTTTTGTTATGGTTATTTTCAGTCTACAGTTTCTTAGAAGGAATCTTTTTAAACTACTTGTGTATTATAAGTTAAAATTGGGTAATGTCTGGGAAGAAATGAACCTTGACCTCTGTCTCACACCTTGTACAAAAATTAATTCCAGATGAATCATAGTCCTAAATGTGAAAGCTAAAACAATAAAATTTGCAGAAGGTTATATATATGAAAATATGACCTTGGAATGGTAAAATAAAAATAAAAAAAATATGACCTTGGAGTAGGCAAAAATTTCTTAAATAGGATACAAAACACTAATCATTAAATAAAATTGATAGAGGGGCGCCTGGGTGGCTCAGTTGTTAAGCGTCTGCCTTCAGCTCAGGTCATGATCCTCGGGTCCTGGGATCCAGCCCCGCATCAGGCTCCTTGCTCGACGGGAAGAAGCCTGCTTCTCCCTCTCCCACTCCCCCTGCTTGTGTTCCCTCTCTCACTGTGTCTCTCTCTGTCAAATAAATAAATAAAATCTTTAAAAAATATAAATAAATAACAAAATAAAATTGATAGATTCCATTAAAATTAAGAACTTCTTTAATCAAGAAGAAGCCAATAAGCAGGAAGACAAGTCCCAGATTGGGAGAAGATATTTTCAGTATTCTCTGTACAATAAAGGACTTATAGTCAGCATATATATAGAGCCCTTACAAATCAATAAGAAAATGGTAGAAAGGCCAGAAGAAAAGTGGCAAAAGATGGGCGCCTGGGTGGCTCAGTCGTTAAGCGTCTTCCTTTGGCTCAGGTCATGATCCCAGGGTCCTGGGGTCGAGTCCCACATCGGGCTCCCTGCTCAGCGGGAAGCCTGCTTCTCCCTCTCCCACTCCCCCTGCTTGTGTTCCTGCTCTCACTGTCTCTCTCTGTCAAATAAATAAATAAAATCTTTAAAAAAAAAAAAGAAAGAAAAGTGGCAAAAGACTTGAACAAGCATGTCACAAAAGAGGGTATCTAAATGTCCGATGAGTATATGAAAAGGTGCTCCATTTAATTACTTATTGGGGAAAAGCAATTTAAGCACTCAATGTGGTACTACCAAAATAGATAAAATGAAAAAGATAGGAAATGCCCAAAGTTCAAAAGTTCATACACTGTTGGTAGGACATATAAATTGGCTCAACCACTTTGGAAAACCATTTAGCAGTATCTACTACAGCTGAATATATGAACACCCTACAACTCCACAGTTCCACCTCCGGGTATAGAATCAGAGAAGTGTACTTAGGTGTACAGAAGTACATGTCCACATATGTTCTTAGCATTACTGTTTCTAATTGACAAAAACTGAAAACAGTCCAAATGTCCACTTACTCAGAATATTTTACTGCAATGTGAATAAACAAACTCTTAACTACACAGAACACAGACAAGTCTCACAAACGATATCGAGTGAAAAAAAACCAAATACAGAAGAAGACATAGTGCATGAATCCATGGATATAAGGCTGCTCGGCGAGGTAGGCAGGGTGATGAAATGTTCTGTATCCTGATCTGGAGGGTGGCTACATAGGAGTCGGGGTGGTGTGTGTGTGCAGTAAAAATTCATGAAGCCATACACTTACAATCTGTATACTTTTCTGTGTTATACATAAATATACAAAAATATTTACCCCACCTCCCCACCCCCAAAAGGGCAGTGTCAGTAAATCTACTTCACTGCGCCTGTGTGAATTGCAGTAGGTTGTAATGTGCTGAAAGCAAATGTGTGGTGTTGTCAGCCCTGCCATGTGGTGGGCCTCCTCCTTCCACTGGACACCTCACCTGCCACACAGGACAGGTGGCCTTCTGACATAGGACTGACTGAGGGGCACCATTGTCATGGAGTCTTTGGGGCGCCTGGATGGCTCAGTTGTTAAGCGTCTGCCTTCGGCTCAGGTCATGATCCCAGGGTCCTGGGATCGAGCCCCACGTTGGGCTCCCTGCTCCGCGGGAAGCCTGCTTCTCCCTCTCCTGCTCCCCCTGCTTGTGTTCCCTCTCTCGCTGTGTCTCTCTCTGTCAAATAAATAAAATCTTTAGGGCGCCTGGGTGGCTCAGTTGGTTGGACAACTGCCTTCGGCTCGGGTCATGATCCTGGAGTCCCTTGGATCGAGTCCCGCATCGGGCTTCCTGCTCAGCGGGGAGTCTGCTTCTCCCTCTGACCCTCTTCCCTCCCATGCTTTCTATCTCTCATTCTCTCTCTCTCTCAAATAAATAAATAAAATCTTTAAAAAAATAAATAAATAAAATCTTAAAAAAAAATAAAATAAAAAATAAGATGGAGTCTGTGCAGGGGCTCTTGCCCTACATGTGATTCTCACCAGCGTCCAGGAACGAGCAGGATTGCATTCTTTGTGCTAGACTGTAAATCTGGTGATGTCACCTCATGACAAAACTTGAAACGGGCAAGTTAGGCATTTGCCCGTGGTGACTAAACTGTAGAGCCCTACGGTCCTGCACTGAAATTCTAGTGACCACTTAGGACCTTAGTCTTTCTAAACTTCATCTGTTCAATGGGGATAACAAGGGGAATAAACAAAGCATGGTTGTGAGAGTTGAGGTGTTTCATGCAAGGGGTTCATTGAGCATTCTTCCTAGTGAGCTCTCAACACATGTGCGCCATCACCAGGATTGTTAAGAGCCACGTGGTAAGATGTATGTTTTCATGATTTGAGGATGGTGGCGTAAGGTCATTAACCCATCTGTTTGTATCTGTGACTTTTTCTGACGGTAGGAGAAGGGAGCATCGACCTCTCCTTCATCAGGCCCAAGATGCCTCTCTTTGGGAATACGTTCAGTCCCAAGAAGACACCCCCTCGGAAGTCCGCTTCTCTCTCCAACCTGCATAATGTGAGTATTACTGCTGGGGCCCATCCCAGTGCGCAGGGACTGGAGCATCAAGCCTGGTCTCTGATGGAAAGTGTGGTTCTCTAGAGGCATCCTTGTAAGGAGGACATCCTTCTAATTCATATTATTGCTATTGCTAAAAACATTTTTTTTTTTTAAAGATTTTATTTATTTATTTGAGAGAGAGAATGAGAGATAGAAAGCACGAGAAGGAAGAGGGTCAGAGGGAGAAGCAGACTCCCCGCCGAGCAGGAAGCCCGATGTGGGACTCGATCCTGGGACTCCAGGATCATGACCTGAGCCGAAGGCAGTCGCTTAACCAACTGAGCCACCCAGGCGCCCGCTAAAAACATTTTTAACTCCTGGGGCACCTGGCTGGCTCAGTCAGAAAAGCACGCAACTCTTGATTTTGCGGTCATGAGTTTGAGCCCCATGTTGGGTATAGAGATTACTTAAATAAGTAAACTTAAAAAAAATTTGTTTTTAAAGATTTTATTTATTTGAGAGAGTGAGCAAGAGAGAGAGAGAGAGAGTACACGAGCAGGGGCAGAGGCAGAGGGAGAAGCAGACTGCCCCGCTGAGCAGGGAGCCTGACGTGGGACTCGATCCCAGGACCCTGGGATCATGACCTGAGCTGAAGGCAGACACTTAACCCACTGAGCCACCCAGGCACCCCCCCAAAAAAAAAACCATTTTTAACTCCTGTTTGGAAATCATCATCAGAGCATGTTCAGGAACCTGGTAAGATGGTCAGTGGCAGGATGGTTTTTGGCTCCAAATGGTATCATCCAGCTAGCTTTCACTTTATTCCCAAGACCTGGCCAGGGATTGATTTTAATTGTGTCTGAGAATCAAATTCATTCTCAAAGGATGATGTTTTGCCACCGTTAATGGCATTCAAGGGTGTGTTGAAGCTCCAGATGCGGCTCCTGGAGCACAGGGCTGGTTGCACTCATCCCAGAATGCCCAGTCCTAGTCCCGGTGCCTCATGGCTGCGGAGTGAGTTGTAGAAGCTCTGAAAACCACATTACAGCCCAGCTACAACTACAGACCGGGAGTTAGCGTTTCACGAAGCCTTTTCCATGACCTGTAGAGCTCCATGGTAAGCAACGGATAACATAGGAGCTTATTACCTCTAGAAAGGATTTTCTACTTTATTAAAAATTTATAGTAAGATTTCTTAAACTGGGGGCGCCTGGGTGGCTCAGTCGTTAAGCGTCTACCTTCGGCTCAGGTCATGATCCCGGGGTCCTGGGCTCGAGCCCCGCATCGGGCTCCCTGCTCCGCGGGAGGCCTGCTTCTCCCTCTCCCGCTCCCCCTGCTTGTGTTCCCTCTCTCGCTGTGTCTCTCTCTGTCAAATAAATAAAATCTTAAAAAAAAAAAAAGATTTCTTAAACTGTGAAGTGCCCAGCAGATGTCATATAATTCAAATTTCAGCATATATAGTTTTTCTGGAAAACATGTATCGTATAATAAAGTGGGAGGTTTCTTCTTACAGTGTAAAAGTTTTTGTTGTACCTTATTTGATTTTCTGACTTTGAACAAAAGCGAGAAAATGTGCCCGGTGATGATTAGAGGAAAGAAATGATTTGCCGGGGTCACACAGTTAGTGGGACTGTCTCGTCCACAGCTGGATCGGTCAACCCGGGAGGTGGAGCTGGGCCTCGACTACGGAACCCCCACCATGAACCTGGCGGGGCAAAGCCTGAAGTTTGAAAATGGCCAGTGGATAGCAGGTGGGCTGATCTCCTGCCGTGGTGTCCACGGAGAGCGTGGAAGCAAAAGCCCCCATGTAACTGCCCATTCTGTCCTTCCCCCAGAGACGGGGATTAGTGGCGGTGTGGACAGGAGGGAGGCCCAGCGCCTCCGCAGGCGGAACCAGCAGTTGGAGGAAGAGAACAATCTCTTGCGGCTAAAGGTGGACATCCTACTGGACATGGTGAGGAGGGCGATGGGAAGGGACGTCTAGGCTTTTTTTTTTTTTTTAAACATTTTATTTATTTATTTGACAGAGAGACAGCAAGAGAGAACACAAGCAGGGGGAGCGGGAGAGGGAGAAGCAGGCCTCCCGCTGAGCAGGGAGCCCGATGCGGGGCTCGATCCCAGGACCCCGGGATCATGACCCGAGCTGAAGGCAGACGCTTAACCGACTGAGCCACCCAGGTGCCCCTGCCTAGGCTTTTCTGGTGGGAGGCTCCACCACGAGTCATTCCATCCAAGCCCGGGTACAGTGCTTTGAATCTAAAGATCCAGATCATACAGCGCCCCTGCTCTCAAGGGCTCACAGTCTAGCAGGGAGGTGGGCAGTAGGCACACACAGTGACAGGGCCTCATGGTGAGGGCAACGGTTGGAGTCTGCGTTGGGCCGGGTGTCAGCACAGGACGGGGAACAAGTCATTCTGTCGAGTCCGGAGGGTGTTGGAGGAAGGGATATTTGAGCTGAATGTGGAAGGATAAAGGGAGGAATGAAGGCTTTCCAGGAAGAAGGACCGTCTGCCCATGGCTTGGAGGTGTCCCATATCAAGCGGGCCCAGACCTGCCGAGGAGCACGCTCTCTCAGTTCCTTGTGGCTGCAAAAGACCCAGTGGGCCGCTGGGCCTGGGGCTGCAGGTGAGAGGTGACTAGGACACAGGAGAGCCCTTGCTGTCATGCGTTCTGGACCAACCCGCCTGGTTCCTTGTGCAGCGCCGCCACTGGCTTTGTGACTTGAGCAAATTACTTCACGGCTGCAGGTGTCGAAACTTAGTGTCTTCATCAGCGAAACAGGCACCATGAGAGGATCTGCCTCATACTGAGTTAATAATCCAAGTAAAGCACTTGGAAAAGAGAATTGCTCAGAAGTGTAGCTTTTCTCCCCCCGCAGTAAGCTGACCTCTACTTTGGAGAGTAAAGTTTCTGTCCCTGTCCTGAATATCTTCCACTTTCTACTCTAAAGTCCATTGAAAGATCCTAATGAGGAAAGTGGCATTCTTTTTCAAGCATTTTTTTCCCCTAATCACCATTATGTGAGCTACGGCTCAGAAACAACTCAGACCCTAATTCTTTAGCCTTAGGAAGGCCCATTGTCTGCCTTTTTCATCCTGAGGCCTGCTCTCTTTAAGGCAGTGCATGCTGAGCAATCCTAGGTGACCAGAATGTTGCGAGGGTGGATTGTGGCTGTTCTTTATGTACTGGAGGCCCTGGGGTTCCCCAAGGAGTTCCCACGGTGGACGGCATCGGCGGTGTGAGAGAGAGGCCGGCGGCGGGGGGGGCCCTTTCCCTAGTGCACACAGCTGCCCTTGCGAACGTGACTCAGCGCAGAAGGGTCCTGCTTTCTTACAGTCTCCTGCCTTCATTTCAGCTGTCCGAGACCACCGCCGAGTCCCACTTAATGGAGAAAGAATTGAAGGAGCTGAAGAGCGTCAGCCGCAGGAGGAAATGAGCCCCTGAAGATACTCGTTAGGAGAAAAGGACATTTGTTAGGAGAAAGTCCACCGACCAGAGGAGTGGGGATGTGGCTGAGGGTTTTTTTGTAGCCGAACTAGGGGATTAGGTACTGGGAGAGAGGTATAATGGGGTGAAAGGCCCCCCTCAGGTTGGCAGCAGGAAGGTACAACATTGCTGGCAGAAACCAGGACCCCAGGCCAGGGCGGTGAGCAGGAATGAGCCCTGGCGTACTGCCGGTAGTCACTTCACGTACGAATGTGCCTCCCCAGGTTCTCCTCGCCGGACTGATGCAGCTGGCTGAAGCAGCTGGACTTCATTGCCTCACCGCTCATTGCTGGTATTTGGGGTGTGGCACGAGCACTTCTAACGGCTTGTGTTGGGGGCCTCCGATGAGCAGCCCTCCTGGTTCTCTGCACCGTCCCTTCCCCGCCCCGGGGCTGCTTTCTCTGTCCTTTAAAGAATACTTGTTCGTGGACTCCATCCCCCTCTTCTGGCTTCAGCTTCTCGGTGGCGAGCCCCAGCGTTCCACGGCAACACTATTTTTGTGCTACTTTCCTGTTTACTTTCTCAAAATTAAATGATGGTATATAATCTGTCTGTGGCCAAAGTGACTGAGAAATGAAAGTAGCAGTTCTTAAAGAAGTCAGTGGACCCTGGAGTCTAAGCTTCTGTTTGGCTGTCCAGAGACAGAGTTTTTAAGTTGTGGGGAAATGTCACCCCTGCAGGAGAAGCATTCCAGCTTCCCGGGCATCCGCCGAGGCTGACTGGAAACAGAACAGTCTCTCTGCCCAGATTCCTCTGCTGTCCTTCAGAGATCTGGGACTAGCCTGGACCTGACAGGGACCGAGTCGTCGAGCGGTCTGGTCGAGTGGTCGGGGTGGGGGCCTGCTTTCCTGGAGAGGGAATTTGCACCTCAGTCTGTGTGAGCTGAGCTGCTGTGGCTGGAGGAGGGAGTCAGTGAGGGAACCCAGCTCCCAAAGTTAAGGGGGAGGGCACTGAGATGGGGACAGGGGACAGAGCCCAGAGCTGTAGCCTGGCAATGGCTATGATGGTCAGCAGTTTCTGAAAGCCTGTGACTTGTGTGGAACCGACCTCAGCACCTTCTCCTCCTACTCTTGTCTCCCTCAGCTCAGCCCTGTGAATGGGGGACTGGCAGCAGTTGTCCTCAGAGGTAAGGAACCAGGTTCCAGGAGGTTCAGAAGCTGGTCCAGGATCATACAGAAGTGTGAGAGTCTGCTGACTCCCAGCTCCTGGTGAAAGGGAGGAGCTGGTAGGGGACGGCCTCCAGTGGACCAGCTCTAGGGGAGATGGATAGAGGCTCCACCCCATAAGCTCACCTTCTGATATAGGAGAGAATAACTCAGAAGAAATCGGAGGATACAAAAGTAAACAGGATGTAAATGCTCCAGCTCATGGCAGCCGTTGAGAGTTGGCTTGTTCCTGGCCCTGCATCAGGAGCAACCATTTATTGAGTGCCTTCCAATGCCAGACACCTATTGCTGAATCTCATAGAATTCAGGTTTGTTATCGTCCCCTGCTTTTAGATGAAGAAACGAGCTCCCTCAAGGTGACACAGCTGGAAGGGGTGGAGCCTGGACCGAAACCCTGGGAATCATGAGGGGCAGGTTTGGTTGTCACAGTGATGTGGGTCCCCGCGTCGCCCTGCCACCAGAGAGCCCTGGAGCCATTACGTGGGACAGTTCTGCAGTAAAGAAGGACTTCTATTTTGAGTGATAAGGGAAATAAGCTGTCGGTGAGTTTGAGCAGAGGAGTGCTATGAGCAATTTTTTTAAAAGACTTATTTATTTTAGAGAGTGTACGGCAGGGAGGGGCAGAGGGAGAGGCGAGAGAACCTCTAACAGACTCCCAACGCGGGACTTGATGTCGTGACCCTGAGATCATTACTTGAGCTGAAATCAAGAAATCAGAGGCTCAACTGACAACCACCCAAGTGTCCCAGTCAATTTGTGTTTCCTGATGGATATGAGGAAAAGAGGAAGGTGGCTACCTCCCACCACCACAGCCTTTGTATTTTTCCCAGGAAGATGCTATCTACTTTCAAGTTCTTTTTTTTTTTTTTTTAAGATTTTATTTATTTGACAGAGAGAGACATAGCAAGAGAGAGAACACAAGCAGGGGGAGTGGGGGAGGGAGAAGCAGGCTTCCCATGGAGCAGGGAGCCCGACGTGGGGCTCGATCCCAGGACCCTGGGACCCTGGGATCATGATCTGAGCCGAAGGCAGATGCTTAACAACTGAGCCACCCAGGCGCCCCTACTTTCAAGTTCTTAACCTTTCTAGTCAGATACATCCTTCAGGTTCTGGTTAAAATTCTTCCTCCTTCAAAGACTTTATGAGCCAAATCTGCTACGGATGGGCCACCCAAGTAAATAGTGCTGTCTACTTGACATTATCTCTTGTGATACTACAACAATTTTGGGAATTTCTGAGCCGCGCATCAAGTTACGGGGCGCTGTTATGGGGGAGCTGCATGGAAACTCTGGGGGTGTCAGGGAGTGAGTGAAATTAGAGGCAGTTGGAGGGAGTCCTACAGGCCTTGCAAGGGGATCCACCTGCACAATTGTGCAGATACAGGCTAATGTGTGTTTTTTTATGGGAGGGGCTTACAGCTTTTCTAAGATTCTCAAAGGGATCTGTGCCTGCCCACTGACCCACATCAAGAACTGCTGTATCACCAATTTCAAATTCTGACAGGACAGAAACAGGAGAGGTGAAATCATGGACTCACAGGATAGGGTAGGAGAGGAGCCAGAGGCTGGGGTTCCAGAACGCCCCATCTCCATCCAAATGGCAAAGTTAGCCGTGCACCTGCCTGGGGCATTCACATTCACTTGTTAGCCCCTTTATTTGTCTCCTTAGCCTTCCATAGTGCCCCCTGGCCGAACATCATTCTTGCCTTGCGCCTTCTTTGCTTGGCATTTCTCCCTGAAACCTTCAGTGAAGCCACTCTTCTCCCGATTTCCCTTCTTCCTCTCCAGCAGCTCCTCCTTGAACCTCTTGAGGCTCCTCTTCCCCCCCTTTTCCCCCAAGAGTTTTGATTTTCTGTTTTTTTTTTTTTAATTTTTTTTAAAGATTTTTTATTTATTTATTAGAATGAGAGAGAGAGAGAGCACGAGAGGGAAGAGGGTCAGAGGGAGAAGCAGACTCCCCGCCGAGCAGGGAGCCCGATGTGGGACTCGATCCCGGGACTCCAGGACCATGACCTGAGCCGAAGGCAGTGGCTTAACCAACTGAGCCACCCAGGCGCCCTTCTGTTTGTTTTTAATTTAAATTTTTTTCTATGTGGCAGATTACATACAACATAAAATTTACCATCTTCACCATTTATAATTAGTTCAGTGGTACCAAATACATTCATAATGATTGCACCCATCACCACCATCCATCTCCAGATGCTTCATCTTGTAAAGCTGAAACTCTGTACCCATCAAACAGTAACTCCCCATTTTGTAACCAAATCCAAGTTCAAGTGCCTGACGTGCAGTAAAGCTGATCACTGAAACAGACTTCAAGTGTGCAGCAAGGCAAAAGTTTATTCTTGCAGCCAAATGAGGAGCCGGGAAGACAAGCTTCAAGTCGGCCTCCCTGAAGCAGGAGAGCCAGGGATTTTTAACAAGTGGAAAAGGGTCTGAGTAAAGGGGAGAGGAGTTACGTGACTCAAAATCAGATAAAGGAAGTTATGAAGTAAGGGAAGGTTCACTGCATTTTGTTGGGCCCTAAGGGGCGCAGTGTCCGGAGTGGTTCCAGTTGGCTTCAGGAGGAAACCTTAAGTTCCTGCAAAACAATTAAATTAACACTTAGCATCTCTCCCAGGGCTTTTAATACTCTGTACTGCATGATGTCCCCCCTCTTTTTTTATCCCTTCTCAGTGATAGAATTATTGAAAGTTCTTTTATTTTTTTTAAGATTTTATGTATGTATGTATGTATGTATGTATTTATTTATTTATTTGACAGAGAGAGAGAGAGAGATGGTGAGAGAGGGAACACAAGCAGGGGGAGTGGGAGAGGGAGAAGGAGGCTTCCCGCTGAGCAGGGATCCCAATGCGGGTCTCGATCCCAGGACATGACCCGAGCCGAAGGTAGACGCTTAACGACTGAGCCACCCAGGCGCCCCAAAAGTTCTTTTATTCAGGGTTTTTGTTTTGTTTTAGATCATGTATTGCTCTTGTGACTATAAACAAAATTAGTTGGTTAAAGTTTTCCTAAAACTTCCCCACATTAGTATTGTGACTTTCCACTTGGAGGCATTAAAGCCTGTACCTTCCACATAAGATTGCCTTTCTAGGCACACCTGGCTGGCTCACTTGGTAGAGCATTCAACTCTTGATCTCAGGATCGTGAATTCAAGCCCCAGGTTGGGTGTGGAGCCTACTTAAAAAAAGAGGGGAAAAAAAAGATTGCCTTCTCTCCCTCAAACACTTCCAGCATTTCCTAAAAGCCCACAAAAGAATTGAAAGCCACTGGTACTGGGCTCTTAAGCTGCCCACTTTATATAGTGCTAGCCAACATAAATAATTTTTTTTTTTTTAAAGATTTTTATTTATTTGACAGAGAGAGACACAGCGAGAGAGGGAACACAAGCAGGGGGAGTGGGAGAGGGAGAAGCAGGCTCCCCGCCGAGTAGGGAGCCCGATGTGGGGCTCGATCCCAGGACCCTGGGATCACGACCTGAGCCGAAGGCAGCTGCTTAACCAACTGAGCCACCCAGGCGCCCCATAAATAATTTTAACAAATGCAAAAAGGCATAATAAGTGTGCAGCCTGATAGATTATCCAAAATGAACATACCCAGGTAAACACTACCCAGGTCAAGAAATAGAACTTTACCAGCACCCCAGAAGCCAGTCTCCTGCCCCTTACCAAATATTATCCCCTCCGAGGTATTCAAAGGGAATCACTAATCCACACAATAGATTGGTTTTACCGGTTTTTGAACTTTATGTAATGGAATAAAACAGTAAGCACCCTTTTGAGACATAAAAACTTTTTTTTTTTTAAGATTTTATTTATTTGTCAGAGAGAGAGCACAAGTGTGTACAAGCAAGGGGAGCAGCAGGCAGAGGGAGAAGCGGATTCCCTGCTGAGCAAGAAGCCCGATGCGGGCCTTGATCCCAGGACCCTGGGATCGTGACCTGAGCCAAACCGCCCAACCAACTGAGCCATCCAGTTGTCCCGACATAAAAACTGTCTATGGTCAGTGCTGCCCTGTTTGGAGCTGAAAAGAACCAAGGACTGTTACAGGAGGAAGTGCAAACATACCTGCCCCTCCATATGTAAGCACAGGATGAAGGACATGGTCCTGCATCAGATAGAGACGTGGACTGTTCAGTCCTGAAATTCTCTGATTCCATGGTCAGCTGGCCAAAGTGTTTATCAAATCACCCTTGTATTAAGAATTTGTGTGAGGGGTGCCTGGGTGGCTCAGTCGGTTGGGCGTCTGCCTTCCGCTCAGGTCACCATCTCAGGGTCCTGGGGCGCCTGGGTGGCTCAGTCGTTAGGCGTCTGCCTTTGGCTCAGGTCATGATCGCAGGTCCTGGGATCGAGTCCCGCACAGGGCTCCCTGCTCCACGGAAGCCTGCTTCTCCCTCTCCAGCTCCCCCTGCTTGTGTTCCCTCTCTCGCTGTGTCTCTGTCAAATAAATAAATAAAATCTTTAGAAAAATGATCTCAGGGTCCTGGGGTAGAGCCCTGTGACATGCTCCCTGCTCAGTGAGGAGCCTGCTTCTCCCTCTCCCTCTGCCCCCACCCCAGCTTGTGCGCTCTCTCTCTCTCAAATAAAATAAAAAAAGAACTTGTGTGGCACATTATAAAAAGCATTTGATCCATCAAGGCAAAAAATTAAAATATGGATAATACCTAATGCTGGGGACAGTGTGGGGAAAAGGACACTTCCATTTACAATCATTAAAGTATATGATATATTGTGGGAAGCCTGCTTCTCCCACTCCCCCTGTGTTCCCTCTCTTGCTGTCTCTCTGTCAAATAAATAAATAAAACCTTTAAAAAAAAAGTATATAATTTCGAGGGCAATTATCTAATATCGAGCAAAGTACTAAATGTTCATACTTTCTGGCCGGCAAACTTGCTTCTAGAAATATATCCTCCATGAGAGACTCTGGACTCCGGGAGCCAAACTGAGGGTTATAGGAGGGAGGGGGTGGGGGATAGGGTAACCAACTGGGTGATGGGTATTAAGGAGGGCACATGATGGCATGAGCACTGGGTGTTATACGCAACTAATGAGTCGTTGAACACTACATCAAAAACTAATGATGTACTGCATGTTGGCTAACTGAACATAATAAAAAAATTACAAAATAAAATAAAAAATAAATAAATTTAAAAAAAAAGAACTATATCCTCCAGAAGGATTTGCCACGCACCCCTGTACTGTGCCTCAACTTCCTTATTTCTAAACCAGGGATAATAGTACATACCTCAGTGGGTTGCTGTGACGATTAAATGAGTACACACACACACACAATGCCTGGTACTCAAGTATGTAAGTGCTAATTCTTGCCTTTGTCTTAGTATATTGGCACTGTTCACCGGACCTTTTCCCAAAAGACCAATAAACCTCCAAATATCTAACTCTTACCAAATAACACACCCCGCCGGGAAATGAGACTGGATTACTGTTTGTCTCAGTGTGGCCCCTGGGAGCTTATTAAAATGCAGATTTCTGGGCCCACCCTAAACCGGAGAGAATTACTACGGCGGAAGCACCGCGACTCTGTACCTGGATCAAATTTCCCAGGTGTTTCTTACTTGGCCGAAAGCCGAAGTCCGCCGGCCAGAAGGCGTCGTTCTTCCGCAGCACTTCAGCCTCCGGCTCCCGGAAGAGCACCTCTGTCCGCCGGGGGGGGGGCGGGGTGTGCTGCACTTGCCTCCTCTTTTCCGCTTCCGGTGTCTCCCTGCAGCCATGGCCGCCGCCGCCGCCGCTGGCGGTCCTGCGGCGCCTCTGTCCCCGGACGAATTGCTTCCGAAAGGCGATTCCGAGAAGACTGAAGAGGAGCTGGAGGAGGAAGACGACGAGGAGGTACTGGGGCCCTGCGATGTGGGGCGGGGTGCGAAGTTACGGGCGGGGAGCGACCGGCTCGGGGGTGTGAGCTCCGCGTGCTGCGGGATTCGGACGAAGGCGCGTCGCGGAGCCCGGAGAGGTCGGGGGGAGGTGTCTTCTCCGGGAGGCGGGGTTAGGGCCCCCCACTGGGCCGGGGCAGGGTGCCCTAGCCCCAGGGGATGGTAGCCGTTGCTTCGGTCAAGACCCGCGCCGCATCCACCACAGCTAGATGAGACCCTGTCGGAGAGACTGTGGGGTCTGACGGAGATGTTCCCAGAGAGGGTCCGGTCCGCGGCTGGAGCGACTTTTGATCTCTCCCTCTTTGTGGCTCAGAAAATGTACAGGTAAGGGACGAGGGCAGAGACATTGGGGCGTGCCTGGGGTGACTGAAGTGCCGCGAATGAGCGTGGGATTTGGAAGTAGCAGACGGGGGTTGGAGACCAGCCCGCCACCTAGACCACTTGAGTGACCTTGGGCTGGTGGGTACCTTAACCTTTCTTGGTCTCCATTTCCTTTCCCTAAAGTGGCAGTTCTTACGGGTCGGGGTTGTTGGGAGGATCGTTTCACATTATGTGAGGTAATTAATGTGCTGTATAAGTAGCTTTGTAAGAACTCAGGAGAACGTTGGAACTGCTGGCAGGAGATAAACGGCCGGCAGAAGTGCTTGTCCTGTTTCTGGTAGGAGGATGGTGCAAGGGTTGGGTAGAAACACGCCTGTCAAAAACATGGGAGCGTGAGAGGTTTGGTTACTGGTTCCTTGGTGAAGCGGGCCCGTTTTTGTGTCTCACTTTCATGCTCACACTCCCTCTGCAGGTTTTCCAGGGCAGCCTTGTGGATTGGGACCACTTCCTTCATGATCCTGGTTCTTCCTGTCGTCTTTGAGACTGAGAAGTTGCAAATGGAGCAGCAACAGCAACTGCAGCAGCGGCAGGTGAGCCCAGCCCCTGGGCCTGTTGCCAGTGGTGGAGAGGCAAGTTGTTGATTTCCCAGCACCTGCGGAGACCAGCAGTTACTTGTGGGTAGAGATTGGGCTCCAGCCCATGCTTTTTTGGGTACCTGTGCTCAGCAGTTTGTGTAGACCTTGTCTGCCCTGTCAGTTAAGTGGAAATGCGATCCCTAGGCTTGTGTGATGCCTTATACCCCTCCTTTTCTTTTCCAGATACTTCTAGGGCCTAACACAGGGCTCTCAGGAGGAATGCCAGGGGCTCTACCTTCACTTCCTGGAAAGATCTAGATTGCTACTGCTATATGACTTGTCTCAGTGGGACAAGTTTGAAAATTCAATAGTGTTTGAACTGCTGATTATTTGGATTTTTTTTTCTTTTTTTTAACTTTGGCACATTGATCTATCTAAACCTGGTGGGGAGAATTCTCCCCAGTGTCTCACGGAGACTCCCAACTTGCAACTGTGCCCTCCACGCTGTCCCATTTCTTCTGTTCTCACTCTGATACGAGTTCAGGAATGCAGACGGTTACTCCAGCTCTGGCCATCCCACCCCTTTCACTAAGTCACTCATGACCGGAAGATCTCACTATCCCATTGTGGCAGAGGAACTGATGCCACTGGGAAGGATGTACCCCTGACCATTTTTGTTTTTAAGCATGAGATGTTGGGAAGGGACATGCACACGACATGAAATACACAATGCATTACAGCCGTAGTGTAACACAGCCACTGTGAATTCCTATGTTGGAAAGGAGGGAGGGCCGGGCAGCAGTTTCAACCATAGGATGGACAGAGTAGGAGCTCATTTCCTCTGCCCATTTTGGCTATCAAGAGACCTGTGTGTCTGTCTAAAAAAGAAAAAAAAGTAAGTGCTCACTTTTTGTATTTAAATATTAAAAATGATTCCAATGGAAAGTGTCATCTATGTACTTGTGATACACATCTCGAAATCACTTCAGACTGCCCCTCACATTTCCTCTCAGCTCAGCTAGCCATCACCATTTAACAGTTTGACCCCTCAGGTGCAAGTTAGTTAAACTTCCAAAAGTGAAAAAGATGTTTATTTCTGGCCAAGAACCTCTTAATAGTAATCTCTGCCCTGAATTCAGACAATCATTTTCAGATCCACCAACAAAGGACTAGGTCCATGTACTTGTACAATCTACAGTGACATAAAGGATTTGTAGGTGATGACACAGTACTGATTTCTGGTCTAGGGAGGGAAGGGTGGCAAATAGAACTTTTTTGGTTCTTTTAAAAATAATTGCTGAGATGAGCTGATTATGAATCCAAGTACCCTTGTCTTTGAACTTTGCAGTTTTTCATGTAACAAATTTTTATTAGCACTGTGCTGTTAACAGTACTGAGCCTTTTATGTGTATCATATTTATCAGAATACAACTATACAATTTAGGGTGTAGTACTATTCCTATTTTACAGAGGAAACGGTCACAGAAAGGTTAAGTAATCTACCAGACTGCATAGGAAATGCTGGATCTGAATTCAAATCCAGTACGCCCTCTGCTATGTGATCTTGACCTTGTTAACCAGAGAAAAACACTGGTCACCTGTCAGTGCTGGTAAAGAAAACTTGTACTTAAGATTCAGATTCCTCAGATTGTTGAGCCTAGTTTTTGTGAACTGAAAAATGTCTCAGGCTTTTGAACCAAATCCTACTTAGTGAATATCTTGTCTGGATTTTTGAGGCTTGAGAGGTTTGACCAAAACACAAAATAGGTCTAAAAGATGGTTTATGATGGTAGTGAGTTTTTCTTCTAAAGCACTGTTACACTAAAGTTTACTTTTTTCCCCCTCCACATACGTAATTACAGAATTCAGGCAGACAGGTGAGATTTATGTATGGAGTTTTCCATTTTTAATATTTGGTTAAACAAAATACATCTTTTGTAAACAAACCCAGCACAAGGCCAACAAAAAAAAAAGGAATAAAAGCAAGAAAAACAAAAAGCCTAGGGTTGCCCCTTATTGGGCATCAGGGTCAGGCCTGCCCCCTTCCTTAAAGGAAGTGGGGCTTTTTGCCCTTGGGCATCAGCATGGGTCCCTGTTCCTAAGCACCAAAATTGGATATGAACAGAGAAACCAGCCCTGAAATGTTTAAGCGTCTTTGCATATCCCATTGGCTCATGGACTCCAAGTGCACGGGGACTCCTCTAAAGTGCCATTTGCACAGGCCCAAGCAGATTGGAGAAGAGTGCCCCGTCCTCCCAGAAGATGGCTTACTATCACTGACAGTGCCCATGGACCCAAGGTCCTGCTTGTGACAATCAGGTTGGCTGTAACTTCTGGCTGGTGGTGGTTGGAATGTCATTGTGCAGGGGTAAAGAGCTCCCTGTGGTGCCAAGCAGGTCTGGTGTGGAAAATGGTGCAGAAGAGACTGCAGCCAGTTGCCAAGAGGGTGTGATGCAGTAGCCGCTTGGTGGCCTCTGTTACTCAGCATAAAAAACGGCCTTGTTGGATTGAAGATACATGTGCAGAAAAAGTGCTGGTGTAAACATGCACTCCAGTCACAGTGGGGAGAAAGCCTCAGCTTAATCCTGTTAAGCTTGCTCAGGCTTGACATGCAAGCCCCAGGCTGGCTTTGCTGCTGGAGAGACGTCTGGCCAGTGGGGCAGCTCTCAGACCCGCCAAGACCACCGAACTGTAAGGGGTAGACAGGCCATCCCTGTCTGCCCACCTGTCTTGAGGCAACCACGACCACTTGGGTGACACACAGTGTGGTAGGATACTTCCCCTCCTTCTCTTTTGTTTTCCAAAGTTACAGGAGAAAAGTGGCCTACAACTATTTAAAGAGGTAGGGGATCGATCAATTCTCGTTGATTTGTAAAGGAAACTAAAGAAAGATGACAAATCCAGGTCCTATAACATAATGCACGTAAACACCCAACTTGAGGGTTCTGATTCTTGTCACTATAGTGACTCCGAGCCTAGGACTTCTACCAATTCTAGCTGCTCTTACTCTCTGAGTAGCTTATCTTCACAATTCTTTTCCTCACTCAACTGTTTCTCAAACTAGTGGAATTTGATATCGAAAGCAGACTTAATTGTTTCCTGATTTCTGCTGGAGTGTGTCAACCGGAAAAACTGCCCTCTGGCCTATCTTGTGCCCCAGAACCTCCGAAATCAACGTAGTGAAGTGGCAGGGACAATGCTGGAGTGAGGCCGACAGGCCATCTGTGCCGGCCCCAGTCTGCCTTCTGCCATGTCTTCTTAGGTATCTAGCTCACCCTGTCACACTAGAATATTGCAGGAGTCAACCACCCGGCATGGAATACTAAATGTTTCATTAGAAAACTCCCAAGGATGGCCATAAACCACCCTCAAAACGGGGGTAATGGGTGGCATTAAGGGTTGGAGATGGCATGCTGTACCACTGCTGGGGTTTTGGAGATGGTTTCCTGAGAGGCCCTTATGCTCTGGGTCCGTCAAGCCAGTCACATGGACTGTGCATGTACTATGTCTTCAGACCCACTGGTTGCCAGGAAAGGGGAAGTGGAGGCAGCATCTCCAGGTGAGTCACAGCAGCAGTGTCCTCCAGCAGAGCCTCTGTCAAGTCCTCGTAGGGATGGGGAAAGTAAGATTGGACCCACCTTTCTTCCTCCTCAAAGAAAACAAGGGTCTTCCACAGCTCCGCCCTAAGCACAAAGAGCTCCTACCTTCCTGTCCCAGGAATGAGTAACGCTGGGTGGTGGTTCTTGTAACCGTCCACACATCCGTCTGTCCTATTGCACTGTCAAATCGGAGGGGAAACCCAATGAGATGTTTGGGGGAGTGGCAAGGGCAGACCCACTGGATAGGCCACAACACGTCTGACAGAGGACTTGGGGGGCCGAGGGGAGGGAAGGCTGGGTAGAACTGCATTACACGTCAGCCCTCCAACTCTGACGGGCCTCCACCTCTTCTGGCACCACCAGCAGGAGTTCACAGTTCTTTCCTCGCAAGTGATGTTTGAGAAATTTCCTATGGGAACAAAGGGTAGATGAGAGAAAATGAAATGCTGGTAAAACTGCAAACTCCAGCCTCGGGGCCGCATGCTCCCCAGTGACCTCATTATCTACGCCCTTGGCAGTCCTAAAGACACTCTTGGAGGGATCTGTTCTTGCAGGGTTCCACATCTGGCTACCCCTTCAACCTGTCCAGCTCATTGCCAACCTGAATTTTCATTCATCCTCAGTTATGTGAGGAACAGAGCCAGCCCGAAGTAAGGGCCTTGTCATTGTTTAAAAAAAAAAAAGTTTCTTCTTTGGTCTCAGGGAAATTTAGCTCTTTCTGGTCTAAATGTCTGTCTGCCTTCTGAACTGGCAGCTGTACCATCCCATTTGTCTAAGCATAGAGAATGTTACGATGCCGGTCCTACCAGACCAGAAGGCCAGCATTCTGGCTGCGGGAACTTCTCTACCAAAGGGACTTCACATCCTCAGGGGCCATCAAAGATACAGGTCTTTCAAGTCTGAGACCATGATTCTAAGGGCAGGGAGAGGATCCAAGTCGCTAGGGATTTCGTCTCCTTCGTCAAATAACCAAAGATGGGCTCAACTTCCCCAACGCACCAAAGGAAGGAGCCCGGCCCATTCACAACAGGTACCTGAGCTCGCTCTCGCCTCCAATCCACTCGGGCATCTTCAGTTTGGAGTCGAGGTTGTAATAGGCACCTCCCACCTCTCGAACACAGATCCAGTGCTGCCTTTTGAGAGGCAACTTCAGTGGACCCCAGCACAGGCTGGAGGGCAGATTCATGATGAAGCCCATGACATTCGTGAGAGCAATGGCACTGACATCCCTGCAGAAGAGAAAAGGCATCAACTCCCCAAGGTTCCCAGCAGGAACACCTCCCCACTCGGGCCCGAGTGCCTGTTCTCATCAAGTCAAGCCTGGTTCAGATTACCTGCGCTTGTCCCACCAGACAGCTTCATAGCCTTTGGTTTGAAGTGCCGCCATAATGACGTTCACATCGTAGTTCCCATTTCCTAGCATGCTCTTCTTGTGGGGGGTCACCATGGTGTTTGGAGACAACCTACAAATGTGAAAGGAGGAGGGCTGAGATGTGTGGGCTGTCCAACTCCTCCTGCCCGGCACCCCACAGACACCTTCCACCACTGCCCCCGGAAGCTTCTTTCCCCCATCCAGTACAAGGTAACCACTTTTTACCCAAGTATTTTATAGTTTGGACTCCTACTGCCCTAGGGATTACCACCTCTCTTTTTATGCAAAACATTAATTCCGTAGTGGTGGGGCCTACTTGGCTGTCATTCAGAAAGTCAATGGACCCAAACCATGTTCCACAAGAGGGCTCATTTGTGAAACCCTCAGCCTACCTATTTCTGCAGTCTTCTTCCTTGCTGATCTTCCTGCCTTAATATAGCCATTTTTCTTAAACATTACCATTGGTAGTATTTGTTGCTACTCTTGTTTTCTTTTATAGTTTTTAAATTTTTATTTAAATTCAACTAACACATAACATTATTACTGTCAGAGGTAGAGTTCAGTGATTCATTGGTCTTATATAATACCCAGTGTTCATTAAAATCATGTGCCCTCCTTAATGCCCATCACCCAGGTACCCCATCCCCCAACCCCCTCCCCTCCAGCAACCCTCAGTCCACTTCCCATGATCAAGAGTCTCTTATGGTTTGTCTCCCTCTCTGATTTCATCGTTTCATTTTTCCCTCTCTTCCCCTATGATCCTCCCTTTTGTTTCTTAAATCCCACATGAGGGAGATCATATAACTGTCTTTCTCTGATTGACTTATTTTGCTTAGCATAATACCCTCTAGTTCCAACCATGTCATTGCAAATGGCAAGACTTCTTTTTTTTTGATGGCTGAGTAGTATTCCATGATACACAGAAACCACATCTTCTTTATCCATTCATCTGTTGATAAGACACCTGGGCTCTTTCCATAGTTTGGCTATTGTGGACATTGCTGCTATAAACATTGGGGTGCAGGTACCCCTTCAGATCACTACATTTGTATCTTTGTGGTAAAAACCCAAGCAGTGCAATTGCTGAGTTGTAGGGTAGCTCTACTTTCAACTTTTTGAGGAATGTCCATACTGTTTTCCAGAGTGGCGGCACCAGCTTGCATTCCCACCAACAGTGTAGGAGGGTTCACCTTTCTCCGCATCCTTGCCAACATCTCTCATTTCCTGACTTGTTAATTTTAGCCATTCTGACTGGTGTGAGGTGGTATCTCATTGAGGTTTTCATTGTATTTCCCTGATGCCGAATGATGTTGAGCATTTTTTCATGTGTCTGTTGGCCACTTGTATGTCTTCTTTGGAGAAATGTCTGTTCATGTCTTCTGCCCATTTCTTGGATTATCTGTTCTTTGGGTGTTGAGTTTGTAAGTTCTTTATAGATTTTGGATACTAGCCCTTTATCTGATAAGACATTTTCTTTTCCCATTCTGTCGGTTGCCTTTTGGTTTTGTCAACTGTTTCCCTTGCTGTGCAAAAAGCTTTTTACCTTGAAGAAGTCCCAATAGTCATTTCTGCCTTTGTTTTCCTTGCCTTTGGAGACGTATCTAGCAAGAAGTTGCTGTGGCCAAGGTCACAGGGTTTGCTGCCTGTGTTCTCCTCTAGGATTTTGAGGGACTCCTGTCTCACATTTAGGTCTTTCATCCATTCTGAGTCTATTTTTGTGTGTGGTGTAAGGAGATGGTCCAGTTTCATTCTTCTGCATGTGGCTGTCCAATTTTCCCAACACCATTTGTTGAAGAGACTTTTTTCCATTGGATATTCTTTCCTGCTTTGTCGAAGATTAGTTGACCATAGAGTTGAGGGTCCATTTCTGGGTTCTCTATTCTGTTCCATTGATCTATGTGTGTTTTTCTGTGCCAGTACCATACTGTCTTGATGATTACAGCTTTGTTATAGAGTTTGAAGTCTGGCGTTGTGAAGCCACCAGCTTTGGTTTTCTTTTTCAACATTCCTTTGGCTATGCGGGGTCTTTTCTGGTTCCATACAAATTTTAGGATTATTTGTTCCAGCTCTGTGAAAAAAGTTGATGGTATTTTGATAGGGATTGCATTGAATGTATAGATGGCTCTAGGTAGCATAGCCATTTTAATATTTGTTCTCCCAACCCATGAGCATGGAACGTTTTTCCATTTCTTTGTGTCTTCCTCAATTTCTTTCATGAGTGTTTATAGTTTTCTGAGTACAGCTCCTTTGCCTATTTGGTTAGGTTTATTCCTAGGTATCTTATGGTTTTGGATGCAGTTGTAAATGGGATCAACTCCTTAATTTCTCTCTTCTGTCTCATTGTTGGTGTATAGAAATGCAACTGATTTCTGTGCACTGATTTTATATCCTGCCACTTTGCTTCATTCCTGTATGAGTTCTAGCAATTTTGGGGTTGAGTCTTTCGGGTTTTCCACACATCATGTCATCTGCAAAGAGTGAGAGTTTGACTTCTTCCCTGTCGATTCAGATGCCTTTTCTTTCTTTTTGTTGTCTGATTGCCGAGGCTAGGATTCTACCACTATGTTGAACAGCAGTGGTGATGGTGGACATCCCCGCTGTGTTCCTGACCTTAGGCGAAAAGCTCTGTTTTTCCCCACTGAGAATGATATTTGTTGTGGGTTTTTCATAGATGGCTTTTATGATATTGAGGTATGTACCCTCTATCCCTATACTGTGAAGAGTTTGAATCAAGAAAGGTTGCTGTGCTTTGTCAAATGCTTTTTCTGCACCTATTCAGAGTATCATATGGTTCTTGTTCTTTCTTTTATTTATGTAGTGTATCACATTGATTTGTGGATGTTGAACCAAACTTGTAGCCCAGGAATAAATCCCACCTGGTCATGGTGACTAATCCTTTTAATTTACTGTTGGATCCTACTGGCTAGTATTTTGGTGAGAATTTTTTGCATCCATGTTCATCAGGGATATTGGTCTGTAATTCTTTTTGGTGGGGTCCTCATCTGGTTTTGGGATCAAGGTAATGCTGGCCTCACAGAAAGAGTTTGGAAGTTTTCCTTCCATTTTGATTTTTTGAAACAGCTTCAGAAGAATAGGTATTTTTTTTTTAAGATTTTATTTATTTATTTGACAGAGAGAGACACAGCGAGAGAGGGAACATAAGCAGGGGGAGTGGGAAGGGGAGAAGCAGGCTTCCTGCCTAGCAGGGAGCCTGATGTGGGGCTTGATCCCAGGACCCTGAGATCATGACCTGAGCTGAAGGCAGTTGCTCAACCAACTGAGCCACCCAGGCGCCCCCAGAAGAATAGGTATTAATGCTTCTTTAAATGTTTGGTAGAATTCCCCTGGGAAGCCATCTGACCCTGGGCTCTTGTTTGTTGGGAGATTTTGACTACTGCTTCAACTTCCTTGCTGGTTATGGGTCTGTTCAGGTTTTCTACTTCATCCTGGTTCAGTTTTGATACTTTATACATCTCTAGGAATGCATCCATTTCTTCCAGATTGCCTAATTTGTTGGTATATAGTTGCTCATAATATGTTCTTATAATTGTTTGTATTCCTTCAGTGTTAGTTGTGATCTCTCCTTTTTCATTCATGGTTTTATTTGGGTCCTTTCTCTTTTTGATAAGTCTGGCCAGGGGGTTATCAATCTTATTATTTCAGAAAACAAGCTCCTAGTTTTGCTGATCTGTTCCACTGTTCTTTTGGTTTCTATTTCATCGATTTCTGCTCTAATCTTTATTCACTTATCCTGCTGGGTTTAGGCTTTATTTACTGTTCTTTCTCCAATTACTTTAGGTGTAAGGTTAGGTTGTGTCTTTGAGACCTTTCTTGTTTCTTGAGAAAGGCTTGTGTTGCTGTATACCTCCCTCCTAGGACTGCCTTTGCTGCATCCCAAAGGTTTTGAACAGCTGTGTTTTCATTTTCATTTATTTCCGTGAATTTTTAAAATTCTTTAATTTCCTGGTTGACCCATTTATTCTTTAGTACGATGCTCTTTAGCCTTCATGTATTTGAGTTCTTTCCAAATTTCCTCTTGTGTTTGAGTTTGAGTTTCAAAGCATTGGGGTCCAAAAATATGCAGGGAATGATCCCAATCTTTTGGTACCAGTTGAGACCTGATTTGTGACCCAGTATGTGATCTGCTCTGGAGAATGTTCCACGTACACTCTTGAAGAATGTGTATTCTGTTGTTTTAGGATGGAATGCTCTGAATATACCTGTGAAGTTCATCTGGTCCAGTGTGTCATTCAAAGCCCTTGTTTCCTTGTTGATCTTCTGCTTAGATGATCTCTCTCTTGCAGTGAGTGGAGTGTTAATTATTGTATTATTATCAATGTGTTTCTTTAATTTTGTTATTAATTGGTTTATATAATTGGCTGCTCCCATGTTAGGGGCATAAATATTTACAATTGTTAGATCTTCTTGTTGGATAGACCCTTTAAGTAGGATACAGTGTTCTTTCTCATCTCTTATTACAGTCTCTGGTTTAAATCTAATTTGTCTGATATAAGGATTGCCACCCCAGCTTTCTTTTGATGTCCATTAGCATGATAAATGGATTTCTACCCCCTCACTTTCAATCTGGAGTTGTGTGGGTCTAAAATGAGTCTCTTTAAGACAGCATATTGATGAGTCTTGCTTTTTTATCCAATGTGATATCCTTTGTCTTTTGATTGGAGCATTTAGCCCATTTATATTCAGAGTAACTACTGAAAGATGAATTTTGTGTGGTTGTATTACCTGTAAAGTCACTGTTTCTGTATTATTGCCTCTGTTCCTTTCTGGTCTATGTTACCTTTGGGCTCTCCCTTCACTTAAGGGATCCCCTTTAATATTTCCTGCAGGGCTGGTTTAGTGATCACAAATTCTTTTAGTTTCTGTTTGTCCTGAAAGCTTTTTATCTCTCCTTCTATTTGAATGATAGCCATTCTATTTTGAATGAATGGAGTAAGTATTCTTGGCTGCATATTTAGCACCCTGAATATATCATGCCAGTCCTTTCAGGCCTGCCAGGTCTCTGAAGATAGGTCTGCTGCCAGGCTATGTTTCTACTCTTTTAGGTTACAGACCTCTTGTCCCGAGCTTTCA